GAACTATATACAGTATTGTACAAAGTATAACAATACTGTATATAGTTCAAATATTGAAGAAAACATATTTTGATTGTTAAAGAAATTTAAAGAAATTCTGGTGAAAAATGACAATTAAACATAACTGAAACACTGAATACAAATTCTTGATCTAGTGACTTTTATTTAAAATTTATCTACAAGCTTTTCAAATAAAGACAGGTACTTCTCAGCCCTTGCCATGGCAGCCTTTTCTCTTTCTTCCTCTCCAGCAAGTGCTTCCCTTTCTCTCTTCTCATCTCTCTCTGCCTGTTCCTTCAAAAAGACCAGGATAGCCTCACAGTCCCTGGGTCTCTTCTTGCCCTGCGTTCCTCCTCCACTACTGGTAGTAGGGGCAGAGTCCTGGTTAGAGACTGTGCCACCTGAAGTGGGAGTCATTGAAGCAACTATCAGGGGCGGACTGATTGAGTGCTGCCCCTGAAGTGCAGTATCCATTAGACTGTACCACTGCCAGGTGGCAGCATTCACGCTACCAGACTCTACCCCTTTTCCTGTTGGGGGGTCTCTAAGATCCTAAAAAGTGTGAGAATAATGTCAAACAGACTGATCCTTAAAACATATACCAGCAGATACAACAAAATTATAATTATTCAATAATTATAATAAATTATCCAAAAATGAATCTGAGGAAGATGTATTTAAATTAGGTCTGTTAGGTAGTTCACCTTGTACTTATCCTCGAGACAGAAGAGCTAAAGAACCGTAGTTTTATGTTGCTAATGTGTTACCTAATAAGCATTTTACTGTAACGTGAATAGTCCGATGAAAACAAAAAACAAATATTACATGTGTGTTTGTAGCAAATCCTATACGATATAAACAATGATATATAACAATAATCATTTTTATATTTATTTCCACTTACGTATGTATTTAAAATATGAAAAAATAACTTACAGTTATGAGTTTTCTCCTCCGCCATAGTTGGTGACGCAATGGATTATGGGTGGCGCAATGCATTGTGGGATACCTTGCTAGCTGAAGTCCGCTGGAGGATGCAACAGTTGTATCCTCGATCAAATGGGCGGAACAAGTACACATCCGGGTGCTTTGAGCGTACTTGCCCTCATGCGTACTTGGAATTGGAACAGAACTTGGACCACTTTCGATGACGTTTCTCAAGAATGAAAACAAGAAAACAAGAAAACAAGAAAGTACAGACAAGTACACATATTGAGAAACGGCCCTTGTGTGCCTGCCTGCCTGCTCATACACCCGCCCCGGTGTGTGAGTGCCTGCCTGACCGCCTGCCAGCCTGCTCGTATGCCTACCTGCCCACCTACCTGGCTGCCCACTTGTCCCGGTGCGTGCCTGTCTGCCTGCCTACCAGCTCACCCACCCGCCCAGGTGCGTGCGGGACAGCCTGTCTGCTCGTATACCCACCCGACCGCCTGCTTGATGGCCCACCTAAGTGCTTGTGTGCCTGCCTGCCTGCCTACTCGTACGCCTACCTACCTGCAAGTCCCGGTGCATGGGTGCCTGCCTGCCAGCTCGTCCGCCCGCCCTGGTGTGCGTGTCTGCCCGCCTGCCTGCCTGCCTGCTAGTACGCCCGCCTGCCAGCTTTTCCGCCCACCTAAGTGCTTGTGTGCCTACCTGCCTGCCTGCCAGCTCGTCCCGGTGAGTGCGTGCCTGCCTGCCAGCTGGCCACCCGCCCCGGTGTGGGCGGGCCTCCCTGTCTACTCGTACATCCACCCGCCCGCCTGCCTGCCCGCCCTCCTAAGTGCTTGTGTGCCTGCCTGCCTGCTCGAATGCCTACCTGCCCGATTGCCCGCTTGTCCCGGTGCATTGGTGCCTCCCGGCCAGCTCGCCCACCCTCCCCGGTGCGTGCGGGACTGCCTGTCTACTCGTGCACCCGCCCCGGTGTGTGCTTGCCTGCCTGCCAGCCTGCTTGTACGCCCGCCCGGCCGCCTGCCTGCCTGCCTGCCCACCCTTCTAAGTGCTTGTGTGCCTGCCTGTCTACTCATACGCCCACCCCGGTGTGTGAGAGCCTGCCTGCCCGCCTGCCTGCCTGCTCGAATGCCTACCTGCCCGATTGCCCGCTTGTCCCGGTGCGTTGGTGCCTGCCGGCCAGCTCGCCCACCCGCCCCGGTGCGTGCGGGAATGCCTGTCTACTCGTACGCCCGCCCCGGTGTGTGCTTGCCTGCCTGCCTGCTTGTACGCCCGTCCGGCCGCCTGCCTGCCTGCCTGCTTGTATGCCCGCCCCGGTTTGTGTGTGCTTGCCTGTCTGCCCGCTCGTAACGTTGAGTGTGTGCCTGCCTGCCAGCTCGACTCCCGCCCCGGTGCAGGAGGGCCTGCCTGTCTACTCGTACACCCACCCGCCCGCCTGCCTACCCACCCGCCTAAGTGCTTGCTTGCCTGCCTGCCTGCCTGCCTGCCCGCTTGTCCCGGTGGGTTGGTGCCTGCCTGCCAGTTTGCCCACCCGCCCTGGTGCGTGCGGGACTGCCTGTCTACTCCTACGCCCTCCTAAGTGCTTGCGTGCCTGCCCACCTACCTGCCTACTTGTACGACTGCCCGCCTGCCTTTCCGCCTGCCAGTGCTTGCCTGCCTGATCGTACGCCCACCCCGGTGTGTGTGTATCTGCCTGCCCGACCTGCCTGCTCGTATGCCCGCCTGCCTGCCTGCCTGCTCGTACGCCCACCTGCCTGCCTGCCCACCCACCTAAGTGCTTGCATGCCTGCCTGCTTTTACGCCCTCCCCGATGTGTGCTTGCCTGCCCGCTTGTCCCAGTGCCTTGGTGCCTACCTGCCAGCTCGCCCACCCGCCCTGGTGCATACGTGACTGCCTGTCTACTCGTGTGCCCGCCCCGGTGTGTGCTTGCCTGCCTGCCTGCTCGTATGCCCGCCTGCCTGATCGTACGCCCACCCCGGTGTCTGTGTATCTGCCTGCCCGCCTGCCTGCCCGTCCACCTAAGTGCTTGTGTGCTGGCCTGCCTGCTCGTACACCCGCCCCGCTGTGTGAGTGCCTACGTGCCCGCCTGCCTGTCCACTCGTTATGGTGTGTGCGTCCCAGCCTGCCAGCTCGCCCGCCCGCCCCGGTGCATGCGGGACTGCCTGTCTACTCATACGTCCACCTGCCCGCCTGCCTGTCCGCCTGTCAGTGCTTGCGTGCCTGCCTGCATGGTCGTACGCCCACCCCTGTGGGTGTGTATCTGCCTGCCCGCCTTCCTGCCATCTCGTACGCCCACCTGCCTGCCCGCCCACCTAAGTGCTTGTGTGCCTGCCTGCTTGCCTGCCTGCTTGTACGCCCGCCCCGGTGTATGTGTGTGCCTGCCTGCCTGCCCACCTGCCTGCCTGCTTGTGAGCGCGCCCGCCTGGCTCTCCGCCTGCCAGTGCTTGTGTGCCTGCCTGCCTGATCGCACGCAAGCCCTGGTGTGTGCGTGCCTACCAGCTCTCCTGCTCGTATGCCTGCCTGCCCGCCCGCCCCGGTGCGTGCGGGCCTGCCTGTCTACTCATACGCCTGCCCCGGTGTGTGCTTGCATGCCTGCCTGCCTGCCTGCTTGTACGCCTGCCCACCCGCCTTAGTGCTTGCGTGCCTGCCTGCCTGCACACCTGCCAGCCTGCTTGTACGCCTGCCCTCCTGCCTTTCCGCATGTCAGTGCTTACGTGCCTGCCTGCCTGATCGTACGCCCACCCCGGTGTGTGTGTATCTGCCTGCCCGCCTGCCTAATCGTACGCCCACCCCGGTGTGTGTGTATCTGCCTGCCCTCCTGCCTGCTCGTACGCCCGCATGCCTGCCCTCCCTCCTAAGTGCTTGTGTGCCTGCCTGTCTAGATATACGCCCTCCCCGCTGTGTGAGTGCCTACCTGCCCGCCTGCCTGTCCACTCGTTATGGTTTGTACGTCCCTGCCTGCCAGCTTGCCCGCCCGCCCCGGTGCATGCAGAACTGCCTGTCTACTCGTACGCCCGCCCCGTTGTGTGCTTGACTGCCTGCCTGCCTAACCGCCCTCCTAAGTGCTTGTGTGCCTGCCTGTCTTCTCGTATGCCTGTCCCGGTGTTTGAGTGCCTGCCTGCCCACCTGCCTGCCTGCTCGAATGCCTACCTTCCCACCTGCCTGCCTTCCCACTTGTCCCAGTGCGTTGGTGCCTGCCTGCCTGCTTGCCCACCTGCCCCGGTGCGCTCGGGACTGCCTGTCTACTCGTACGCCCTCTTAAGTTCTTGTGTGCCTGACTGCCTGTTCGTATGCCTACCTGCCCATCTGCCTGCCAGCTCACCCGTGCGCCCCGGTGCGTGCAGGCCTGCCTGTCCAGTCGTACCCCTACCTGCCCGCATGCCTGCTCATACACCCGCCCACCTGCCTGCCTGCCCGCCCTCCTAAGTGCTTGTGTGCCTGTCTACTCGTACGCCCGCCCCGGTGTGTGAGAGCCTGCCTGCCTGCCTGCCCGCTCATCCCGGTGCGTGCGTGCCAGTCTGCCAGCTCGCCCACCCGCCCAGGTGCGTGCGGGACTGCCAATCTACTCGTACACCCTCCTACGTGCTTTTGTGCCTGCCTGCCTTCTTGAATGCCTACCTGCCCGCCTGCCCGCTTGTCCCGGTGCGTTGGTGCCTGCCTGCCAGCTCGCCCACCCGCCCCGGTGCATACGGGACTGCCTGTCTACTCGTGCGCCCGCCCCAGTGTGTGCCTGCCTGCCTGCCTGCCTGCCTGCTCGTATGCCCGCCTGCCTGCCTGCCTGATCGTACACCCACCCCGGTGTGTGAGTGCCTGCCTGCCTGCCTTCTCATATGCCTAACTGCACAAGTGCCTGCCTGCCTGCTCATCCCGGTGCGTGCGTGCCAGTCTGTCAGCTCGCCCACCCGCCCAGGTGTGTGCAGGACTGCCTATCTACTCGTTCGCCCTCCTACGTGCTTGTGTGCCTGCCTGCCTGCTCGAATGCCTACCTGCCCGCCTGCCCGCATGTCCCAGTGAGTTGGTGCCTGTCTGCCAGCTCGCCCACCCGCCCCGGTGCATACGGGACTGCCTGTCTACTCGTGCGCCAGCCCCGGTGTGTGCTTGCCTGCCTGCGTGCCTGCCTGCTCGTATGCCCGCCTGCCTGATCGTACGCCCACTCCGGTGTGTGTGTATCTGCCTGCCCGCCTGCCTGCTCGTACGCCCGCATGCCTGCCTGACCACCCACCTAAGTGCTTGTGTGCCTGCCTGCTCGTACGCCCACCTGCCTGCCTGCCCGCTTGTCCCGGTGAGTGCGTGCCTGCCTACCAGCTCGCCGCCTACCCCGGTGCGGGCGGGTCTGCCTGTCTACTCGTACCCCAACCCGCCCGCCTGCCTGCCCGCCCGCCTATGTGCTTACATGCCTGCCTGCTTGTACGCCCACTCGACTGCCTTTCCACCTGCCAGTGCTTGCCTGCCAGCCTGCCTGCTCGTACGCCCGCATGCCTGCCTGCCCGCCCACCTAAGTGCTTGTGTGTGTGCCTGCCCGCCTGCCTGCTCGAATGCCTACCTTCCCACCTGCCTGCCTTCCCGCTTGTCCCAGTGCGTTTGTTCCTGTCTGCCTGCTTGCCCACCTGCCCCGGTGCGCTCGGGACTGCCTGTCTGCTCGTACGCCCTCCTAAGTGCTTGTGTGCCT